GAAATAATTGATCTCTTCTTTAAGTTGTAGTATCATTTTGACTCCACTTTACCATCTTCTGTAATAGTTTTTTTTTTGGGGGGGGGCATATTTATGTTTCATTCCAGTTTCCTAGTGAATTTATTACAAGGACTATGTCTCCTGAGTCGCCATCACTGTCTAACATTCTGCTTATCCACATCACTTAGTAAACATTTACAGCAGGAAAAAATAGTTGGAAGTGCAGACTATACGATAATGGAGTGTTATTATCTCTATGAGAGTAGCATGTTTCTTGAAAAACAAAAACCAAAACCAAAACCAAAAACTGACAAATTAACCGACCTCCAGAAAGCAACAGAAAGAAAGCTCTTGAGCTCAGTCTGAACTCCTAATGAGGTAAAATTTTGTGTTCTGAAAATTTTCATTACCCTAGGAATATTTATGCTCTTCTAGAACAACTGATTAAAAATATTTGCGCTTGTTTCAGTTCAGCTTATATTTTCTTTTCATTTTTTGTTTTGAAAATGTTAATGATTACACAACTTTTCTACGAGTAATAGGCCTGTTTCAGAGTGTGCTCTTAAAAGACTATTTTTATCAACTACTTTGTCAGCAGGGTTCTCAAGCCACACACATAAAATATCTCCTGTGGCTAATAACCCACACAGACTAGTAACTTAATTAAATTGTAATTTAGTTACAATTTAAGTAACTTTACTGCCCTAAACAAAGGGTAATCCATGTGACTAGGATTTACAAGTCACTTTCTGACTGTTCCATAGTACCTCACCATAGTTTGTCATTTTCACCTCAATAACCACTTTGTAATTTACACACTAATGCAACAATCATCCTACACTGATAAATTTCATTGCATAGACACTCCCCCAAAATAATATGATCTTTTTCTTTGTTTGAATATACCTCTAGAGCAGTTCTCAGTTAAAAACTAAGTGTTAGGATTTAAATGACAATGCTATGGTATTTGTTATTCAATGATATCGATATAGTTTAAATACTCATGTTATAGGGGATAATTTTGAAAAGAAAAGATGCTTTACAATGTGATATGTGTGCAATTGAGAAGTATTTACTTAAGGATGATAAAGTAATAATTAGGATATTATTTCATATTTTATTAAGAAATGTCAGCAGTTAGGAAATGAATAAGTTCTGAGGATCTAATATACAACATGGCTATTATAGTTAGCAATAATGTATTGTATGCTTGAAAATTGCTAAAAGAATAGATCTTAAATCTCCTCATCCCCCTCCCTACACAAAAGATAACTATGTGAGGTAGTGAATGTGTTAACTAACCTTATTGTGATCATTTTATAGTTTATCCATTTACCAAATCATTACATTGTACATCTTAAGTGTACACAATGTTATACATCAATTATATCACAATAAAGTTGAGAAAAGGTCAGGCAAGGAATTGTGATATAAATGAATCTTTTGGAGAGCTTTACAATGAATCATCTCTTGAATCATCTCAGGTGTCATATAAACTAAAACACAATTTACTTTTAAATTTAAAAAGTATGTACACATGACATATTTTAGCTTCACTTGGAGGATAGGGGTATAATATATTAAATAATATTAGTATACCATTATTCCAAAGCATTTAAAAATAATCCGTCTGCCCAGCCGGCATGGCTCAGTGGTTGAGCGTCAGCCTATGAACCAGGAAGTCATGATTTGATTCCCGGTCAGGGCACATGCCCGGGTTGTGGGCTTGTGCAGGAGATAGCCAGTCAATGATTCTCTCTCATCATTGAAGTTTTTATATCTTTCTCCCTCTCTTTTCCTCTCTGAAATCAACAAAAATATTAAAAAATAAAATAATTTTTAAAAAGATTGAGTGACTTTATTTCTGGGTTCTCTACAGCCCAAGTGTCCATCAGTAGGAGAATGGATAAAACAGCTATGTACACAATGGAATACGACTTGGCCATAAAAAGGAAGAAAATGTTACCCTTTGCAACAGCATGGATGGACTTGTAAAACATTCTACTAAGTGAAATAAGCCAGTCAGAGAAAGACAAGCACCATATGGTTTCACTCACATGTGGAATTTAATGAACAAACTGGTCTGCCTGGCAAAATTGAGACAAACTCACAGATAAAGAGCAGGCAGACAGTTCTGGTGGGGGGATTTTTGGGGAGGGTTGAGGAATAGAGCATTTAAAAAGATTTTAAAGTAAGATAGTTTGGCAAAAGAGAGAGGACTCATGGAAATAGGCAACACTATGGTGATTGTTGGGTGGGGGGAAGTGGAGGATATGAAAGAGGGCATAGAAGTGATAAATGGTATTGGGAAAAATGAAATAAGGACTAATGGACAGGGATAACTAATGGACAGGGACTATGGTATGGTGAGTGCAGGGGGCTTGGAGGTGGACGGGAGTATAGGCGGGATAAATAGTGATGGAAACAATAAATAAAGAGGGGGAAAAAGAGTGGGTGAGATAGCAATGTCACAGAATTTCTCTACACTGGTTGAAATGCCTTCACAAAAAACTGCAAGGCAAAAAAGTTAAAGAAAAGTATTCATAATCTTCTATACATACTCCTCTACCTATGGAGTCCACAAGACAGAACATCAGTTACACATAGGTCCTCGTCCTATTTCTGTAATGAATTTCTAAAACTTAATCTGACATGAATTCTTACATTCCATAACACTTGGATATTTAGGATTAATATCTTAAACAATCTTTGAAAAAACAATACTTGTATGAGTAACCCTCCTCTCCAAAAGTACTAGAAGAATTCTTCAGCATCAAATAGTTTTATTTTAGTAGACAAGATGTCAAGGTTTTATGCCTTTGAAATGCATCTTTCTTTAATTCTAATCTGGGTGATTATAAATATAGCATGTTACAGAAGACAATATTTTATAGGCTTCAAAAAAAAGACTAGATGACTATAAAGTCCATTTTCATATCCAAATGAGTGGGATTCTATTATTCTCTGAGGAAAGGGATAGCACTGTATTACTGATGACATGATTCAAATAAAACAGCAATAAAATAAAATTAAATAAATAAGATGCATACAAAATAAATATAGTATTCATAAAATAAAATTAAACAGTAATAGAAAATTATAATGTTAGTTCCCTAAATTTAGTTTCATGTGCAAATGCCTTATTCTAAAGATCTTGGTGGTTTATTTGCTGAATGAGTGTCAATTCATTTATCTGATGGAAAGAGAGGTAATAGGTACTCAGATTTGAGATACAGCTTATAAAATCTAGCTGACAGATTATAGTTTATTTTATTTTTTATTTTTATTTTTATTTTTTTAAATATATTTTATTGATTTTTTACAGAGAGGAAAGGAGAGAGAGAGAGAGAGTTAGAAACATCGATCAGCCACCTCCTGCACATCTCCTACTGGGGATGTGCCCGCAACCCAGGTACATGCCCTTGACCGGAATCGAACGTGGGACCTTTCAGTCCGCAAGCCAACGCTCTATCCACTGAGCCAAACCGGTTTTGGCAGTTTATTTTAATATTTATTTTAAGATCTATAAAATACATGGATAAAGCTTAAAATCATGAAACCTTAAATAAAGGGCTATTTGCTTTATAACCACAAGACTTGATGGTGTTCTCAGAAACCAGTCTGGTTTACTGGGCTTCCTTTGCTTTTTTCCCTGAATTTGGAAACATAAGAAGTCCTTCCATTTATTTCAACTGGGTGAGTGGGGAAGTGCTCAATTTATCTTCTAGTAAACAGTCTAGTGCTATTTGTTTTGTGGCTTTGTAATCTCTATGTTTTAAAACCTCTTGACATTTGCAATGGCACCAATTTATCTACCTGATTCATGTGATCGTGATGATTAAAGAATTCCACCCAAAGACAAAAACTTATTGAAGACAAATATCAGGAGACTGCCTGCGCCTCATGCACAGGATGTGCACATTCACCTGTTTCCAGACCTGCCAGCAACGAACCTTCTTCCTCCTGCGCTGGATACAAGCGGTTGAGCACAGAAAAGGGCCAAACAGACTGCTGGGTTCCGTGGCCTGCGCTTAAGCCCCACCCAAATGGAGAGTCACTCCCTTCCAAAAAAGCAGCAAAAATCTTACAACTTTAGATATTCTTTTATGCAATTTATCATTAATAGGAGTACTGCCAAGGTCTTCCCAAACAGAAAATACTAAGTAAAATAAGAAATTGCCAAAAAGTTTTTGCAGTGATAAATTATGGATTTTTGACAACTGTACAAATATCAGTTATAAATCAAAATTATTGTTCTTGTATTTTAAAAAGTCCTGGGTATATAATTATAGATGATTGAATTATTTTTAAGAGAATCAAGTTAATGAGACATTCATATATGTATAAGCATAAACACACATATTTTTTAAAAATTCTCATTCAAGGATATGTTTATTGACTCTTAGAGAGAGGAAGGAGAGAGAAGGAGAACCATTGATGTGAGAGAGAAACACCAATCCATAGATCAGTTGCCTCCTGTACACACCCTGATAAGGGACTGAAGCCAAAACCTGGGTATGTGCCTTGACCAGGAATTGAACCAACCACCTTTTGGTATCCCGGACAATGCTGCAACCAAGTGAGCTACACTGGCCAGGGCATAAACACACACACATATTTTTAAAAATATATATTTTATTGATTTTTTTACAGAGAGGAAGGGAGAGGGATAGTTAGAAACATCGACCAGCTGCCTCCTGCACACTCCCCACTGGGGATGTACCCGCAACCAAGGTACATGCCCTTGAATGGAATCGAACCTGGGACCCTTGAGTCCGCAAGCCGATGCTCTATCCACTGAGCCAAACCAGTTAGGGCAACACACACATATTTTTAAGAGAATCAAATTGAGAACAATAAATGAAAAGGAATCATCATGAACTTTTGACAAACAAATAGAAATATAATAATTATTACATGATTTTTACATTTTATATTCCTGACAAGTGATGTATAGCAAGTAAGCATTTCCTTGTGAGAGCCTGTTATGTGGGTCATACCTTTTCATGAACTTTCTGGCCAGGTTCCATCCCTTCAAGATGTTCTGACTCCGTGGAACCCTCACTTGATGCCATTTTCCTTTGTATATGAACATTTTGTTCACGCAAGGCAACGATCTGTAAAATAAAAAGACAGGCTTTTAAAATCTAAAGTAGAACATAAAGTATAAAAAATTTGAGTTTACTTGAATGTGGTTAAGAACTAATGAGCACAATCAGAAAATAAACATTGTTTTACTCATTATTATTTCAAACATATTTTCAAAAATTGACTAGCATTTTGAATAACATTTATAATATTTATAGGAATGTGAAAATTTTCTTTAAAATTTTTCTACTTGGAAAAGGTATCTATCAGGTTGGAAATGTACCTAAATAAAAAGTATGATCCATGTATTGTTCAATCAGAAATTACCTTCAAAATTAATTTATGAAATGTGATACAATTTGCATTGGTCTGTATTTTTAAGACATAAAAGAAACATAAATGAAAAGATTGAAAGCTGAAGACTAATTATTAGCACAATCATTTACCCTAAGAAATAATGTATCTGCAATTTAAAAACTAACAAACACATAAGCTGGACTTAAATAGTTGTAGCACTATCATAAGTACTTAGAATTAAATTGGTCTCACTGTCTTATTTTAATGACCATTGTCTTAGCTCAGCTAGTCCAAATATAGTAGTTAATTAAAGAAAATCACCAAGCAATAATCATCAAATAAACAAAATATATAAATTAGTTGGGTGTTTGCACTGCTACCTGCCACTGCTTCAGTGCCCAGGGGGACCGTGATGTGTTCACAAGATCACGTGAACTTGCACATGTGCTCCAGCACTTGAACATATCGCATTTCATTTCCTAGGGGCATATCACCACACCACGAAGAACAACGATGTAAACGCCACTTCCTGAAGTACTGCAATCACTAAATGATTAGCCCCCTTGCTCCCTTTCCTGCTCATCTACAATCTTTCCCAAAGCAGCCAGTTTCTTCTTTTAACTGTACATTAACACCGTGTCATTTCTCAGCTTTCTACAGAACCTCAATGTCCTCCCAACTTATTGAGTCTGCATTGAAATTTCTTAGCAAGGTCTCTAACTTCCTACATGATCCCTTTGGCCACAATTACCTCCTTTCTGTTGCCTAGATGTACCAGACTCTTCCTTACCCAGAACTGAGAAACATTATCTTCCTGCCTGAACATCCTTTCCCAGCTCAGAGCAGGCCGCACAATCCCAGCCTTCACAGCTCAGCTGACACACCGCCCGTCAGAGAAAACATGCCTTGCTGTCAAACACTTATTACAATTTCCCTGTTTATTTTTTTGGGTGTTTCACTCATTAAAATATAATATTTTATTCCCTCTTTACTCACTTGGATTGTTTATTTAGCTAGCAGAAGAACTAATAATATCTCATGGGAAAATAATTTTCAAAAGAATGTCTTATTGGTAACATTTTCATATGCAGCAGCATCATATTAATATGTGCATAGTATTCATTAAAAAATGTGTTCAGTTACATAATGAATGAATATGGAAAAACAATGAGTGTATAAAACTAACTCATCTGGAAATAACAAAAGATAAAGATTTAAAGTGTTTGAGACATCCTTTCATGTTAGTGTAAATGGAGTAAATCAAAGGAAAACCAAAATGAAATAGCCCTGCCTGTATCATTCTTATATAGGCAAGTTGTGCATACATTTTCAATCCACTGAAGGCCCATGGGAATGTAGTCAGGAGACATTTCCACAATCAATTTAGCGGATCAACCATGACGTGTCAAGTGTTTGTTTCTAAATGCCCACCATCCCTACATATTCCTTTTGGTAACAACATCTCACATTTTCATTGGAGAGTTTCTGAATTTCCCTTTCAACTCTAATCCTAGAGGGACTGTCAATCAAGGGGTCAGAGCTGATGGCAAATAGCTGGGCACATGGTCCAAGTCAGGGCAATTAGCATGTTCTTTGAGATGCTTCTGTCAGAGCTATGTGGGGAGATTCTCTCTGCCATGGAAAATAAGCTGGTAGGAGATGATCAGGGTGCTGTTTGCTATTATTGTAGTTCTGCCTGTGGAGAAAGCCAGGGGCTGAGATGGAGTCCTGATGAATGTTGCTGTTCCTGATTCTAGCTTTTTTTTTTTTTAAACTTCTTTTGCCATTTTTTTAAAAATCATTCGTGGTTTCTCCTGATTTCTTTTTAAATTTTATTTTTCAATTACAGTTTACATTAAATATTATTTTGTATTAGTTTCAGGCATATGTACAGTATAGTGGTTAGGTGATCATATACTTTATAAAGTATTCCCCCTGATATTTCCAGTACCCACCTGGCACCATACATTGTTATCACAATAGTATTGACTATATCTATCTCTACCTCTGGCATTTCAGCAATAAAAGCCAAAAATTTCCCCTTTGTGTTCAAACTAGTTTGGATAGTTTTCTGTCACCTGCAACTAAAAGTGTCCTTGTCATGTACCTTGGTTGCAGGCTCGGTCCCCTACCCCAGACCAGGTGAGTTCTGGAGGCAACCAATTGATGTGTCTCTCTCACATCCATGTTTCTCTCTCTCTCTCTCTCTCTCTCTCTTTCTCTCTCTCTCTCTCTCCACTCCACATCCACCTCCCTCCCCTCCACTCTCTCTAAAAATATCAATGGAAAAATTATCCTTGGATGAGGACTAAAATAATAATAACAATAACAATAATAATAAAAAAAGTATCGTTGCAAATATAGCAGGGAACATGGAAGGCAACACAGCATATGGAATTGCTAAGAGGAGGTTTTGTAAAATTACTAACAATTTACCAGGCACAATGGGAGAAATTTTTTCTTATATAAGAGCTCTGTGTGTTCCTAGTACCACGGCTTCACTATTTCTGTGCAAAAAGTATCTGGAGGAAGATGGAATTAGGACAGGAGACTGAAAAAACTAAAGCGGTTCAACTAAAGCTCTGGCCTCTGAGTGCTTCTATCTTTCTGGCCTGCTTGAGCAGCTCTGCTCCCATACAATGGACTTCTGCTGGTCGTTCAAGTCTGGAAAATTCCCCAGCTCTCATTCCTTGTTTCTACCAAACTCTCTCTGGAATTCTACCGTGTCTTCCAACAGATGCTCTCCTACCCCTGGTCTTTGAACAACTGTTTTCCCTGCCAACCTGGAGAGATTCATTCACTTCACAAATTTTCATTGAGCACAGGCATTGGGGAAAAACAAATCAAGGGGAAAGAAGAAATTCTTGCCTTAACAAAACTTTAATTCTTGTTGGAGGAGAGAAACTATTAACAAAAATAAGTAGCATACATTTTTTAAAATATATTTTATTGATTTTAGTAGCATACATTTTTAAATGGTGATAATTGCAAACTGTAAATGAAAGCAGGGGAGAGGTGCTGTGAGGTGTAGTTTCATTAGGAACTAGGTGCTTTCTGAGTGTAGACCTGAAGACACGGGACAAAGACAGCAATGTGGATATTGGAGAGAAGAGCTCTCCAGGCAGAGGGTGGGGAAGATGTAAATTCGTATTGAAAAAAGAGTTGAGATTCATGCAAATGTTTCAGTGAGTTCTTCAAATGATGTAAAATGTCTTTTCAAAAGGAAACTAAACACCAGTGAAAATCGATGCCTTAGATTACAGTGGTTCTCAACCTTCCTAATGCGGCGACCCTTTAATACAGTTCCTCATGTTGTGGTGACCCCCAACCATAAAATTATTTTCGTTGCTACTTTCAAACTGTAATTTTGCTACTGTTATGAATCGTACTGTAAATATCTGATATGCAGGATGTATTTAGGCGACCCCTGTGAAAGAGTCGTTCGACCCCAAGAGAGGTCGCGACCCACAGGTTGAGAACCGCTGCCTTAGAACTTGAGGTGTGAGGAAATATACAGAAACATGTGATTCTTTAGGAAAAAATAGTGATTTTGGAGAAAATATAATTTATATTCCTGAATTTTGAAATTTCTCAAGAGTTTAAGATGTATTAATCCATTTATTCAACAAATACTCATTAATCACTGTTCTAAGTATCAGACACCACCAGGAAAAAGGCAGATCAAGCAATGAAATTGCATTCTAGCAAAAAATAAAAAAAGAAAGAAAAAGAAGAAAATTCAGTAAGATAACAAAATAGCAACGAATTGTTAAATTCTTAAAATGTGCTTAAGATTGTGCTAAACACATTATAGAAATTTGCATCTTTAAAACAACTGTTTACCTGTACTATGCTTTCTAACCAAGTTTGAGAATTCTTCAAAGCAGACTTTGAGACATGTAATAATGTGCATGTAGTTTATTCATCCTTAAATAATCTTGAAAGGCCTTGATTGAATCCTGGCCTCTTTAGGTGTAACTGACGATATGACCTTGTACAAATTACTTAAACTGAAGTTCATGCTCCTCTGTTATAAAATAAGGGATAATAATACCTTTTAGTGTTTGTACTATAAAGTACTTAGTCAACTTTGGTGTACAGTAAAACTTTGTTACATAATAACAAAGACCTCCGTTCACCTCTTCAACTTTATCTTCCTATCCACACTTTGTATTCTGGCTTATTGAAGGTATTGCATTCACACACATAGGAAATGCCATCTTCACTGAGTTTTTATTCACTTGGATTATCCTTTGTGAGGTGATAGGAAAATATATATATATATGTATGTATATGTATATACATACATACATACATACACATACACATACATATATATATATGTTGGTCTCTGCCTTCAATATCTGGCATAACGTTCCTAAAACCCTTATAAATTCCTATGTGATAAGAGCAGTGGGAGCATCTTTTGTTCCATTGAGGTGACTCTGGGTGTGTTCCTGGATGGAGGTGGTCACCAGAAGACCTGAGCTATGATTGGAAGCTTGGCATTGTCAGCCCCATCTCCCATTCTCTGAGAGGGGAGAGGGAGTGGAAACGGAGCTGTTTGATCATGCCTATGTAATGCCGCCTCCATAAAAATCCCCAGAGTACAGGTGTCAGGGAACTAACTTTCCGGTTGGTGATTAATCCATGTACTGGGAAGGTGATGCACCCCAATTTCACAGGGACAGAAGCTCTTGCACTCTGGATGCTTCCAGATATTGCCATATGT